AGGTTTAAAACATGAGGAAGGAAAGTCAATTCTGGTCGAACATCACTCCTAAAAATTTTACCTCAGGCGCAACTGGAATAATTGTACCATTCAGATATAACTCAGGTTCAGGATGGAGACCTCGCTTCCTACAAAAGTGCACGCACACAGTTTTTTGTTTGAAAAAAGTAAATCCCTGTTTGTTTGACCATCCTTGGATCTTATTCAGAGCTATCTGCAACTGCCTCTCTACGTATCTCATGTCTGCCCCTCGACAGCTAATCTGCAGATCATCAACATATAGAGATCCCAAGATGGTGGAAGGAAGTTCTTTTAATACTGAGTTTATTTTAAAACTAAACAGGGTTACACTAAGCACACAGCCTTGAGGCACACCCTCTTCCTGTTCAAAAACATCTGACAAAACAGAGCCAATTCGTACTTGAAAAGTTCTAGATTTCAGGAAATTCTGAATGAAAATTGGTAGGTTGCCGCGCAAGCCACTCTCGTGAAGATCGCGAAGTATACCGTATCTCCATGCCTTATCATAAGCTTTCTCTATATCGAAGAAAATTGAGACAAGGTGATTTTTTCTTACAAAAGCTTTTCGAATGGATGTCTCTAAGAGGAGCATGTTATCTACGGTTGTTCTCCCTTTTTCGAAAACCGCTTTGATAAGGTGATATGATATTATATTTTTCCAAGAAGTAGACTAGGCGGCTGTTTACCATCTTTTCAAACAGTTTGCAGAGGCAACTCGTAAGGGCAATTGGCCGATAGTTGGAGGGATTCCTTGGATCTTTCCCTGGCTTAGCAATAGGAATGACAACAGCTCTCCTCCATGCACTGGGAAAGGTACGCTCCTTCCACACCCTATTGTAAAGAGTGAGAAGGGCATTCAGTGACTTATAGGACAGATGCTTTAGCATTTCGTAATTCACGCCATCAAGACCCGGAGAAGACCTATGTGTCTGCAATAAAGCTCTCTTTAATTCCACCATAGTAAATGCTCTATTGTAAAGCTCAGATTTGGAAGAGTTGAATGCGATGGGATTTATTTCAGAGTGCTGCTTCATAGAGAGAAATGCAGGTGTATAGTTTCTGCTGGAAGAAACACCAGCAAATGTCTCACCAATAGCATTCGCAATTTCTTCTATGGAGCTAATCACTCGGCAATCTTTTTCCAAAAAGGAAAGTGAGTGGTCTTTATATATTCCGCATGCTTTTCGAACTCTTTCCCAAACCCGCTTACTAGGCGTAGAGGTTGTTATTGAGGACACATATGAAATCAAGGAATCGCTCTGCCTTTTTACCTTTCGTGCATTTGCTTTGGCTCTTTTAAATGCTATGAGGTTTCGCAGAGTAGGATATCTACGAAAAATACCCCATGCTTTTTTCTGTTTTTTCAGTGCTTCATGACAGTCGCGATTCCACCATGGTTTCGAATATTTAAGTATTTTTCCTGATGTTCTAGGAATGGAAAGCATAGCTGCCTGAATAATAGTATTAGTAACAGCTTCCACAGCGTCATCGATATGCACATCTTCTACCATTTCCTCTGTGAGCTCTGCGGAGGAAGAGAAGAGTTCCCAGTCTGCCCTGTCCAGTATAAACCGAGGGACTCTCGACATGGGGTTTGCTCCTCTTCGTGCAAGAGACACAAAAATGGGATAATGATCGCTGTTGTACAGGTCATTTCCGACACTAAAGGTGCAAAAAGGCAACAGAGATGGTGAACAGATGGCAAGATCGAGAGCGTGGAATGTCCTTGAAGGCTCATGGAAGTACGTATCTTGCCCATTATTTAGGAGACAAAGGCTATGATCTTTGATCATCTGCTCAATTTGTCTTCCTCGGCAATTTGTATCTTTACTACCCCAGAGTGGACTATGGCCGTTAAAATCTCCTATTATGATGAAAGGCTCAGGCAGCTGCTCTAAAAGACCATTTAAATCTTGCTGATCAATATGCTCATTTGGAGGCAAATACAGAGAAACGGCTGTAACAACAATATCAAAATTTGTTTGAATAGCGACAACTTGGAGGGATGTCGTCAAAGAAAGCACATTTGAGGGATAATCCAGTGAGGTGAGGAGACCTACACCTCCACTGGCACGCTCACCTGCAAGGTTATCTTTCCTGACGAAGGAAAACCTCCGAAGTTTTGCCTGTTGTTCTGGTTTTAGATTTGTTTCCTGTATTGCGAAGCATACAGGATGATAAGCATTAATTATGGCTTTGATGTCGAGCAAATTTCGGTGGAAACCGCGACAGTTCCATGACATGAGGGTGGCCATTATGAATGGTTTTTGTTTTTCCTGTGCTGTTCTTTTGTTTTTCGTGGAAGTAGATGCCTGGGAACTTCCAGACAATCTTCCACTTCCATAAAGTCTGAATCCGCAGATTCAGAAATCATCTCATCGAGAGAGCTATTGCTGCGACTTCTATTTTTATTTGATGTTTTTTGTGTGGCAATTTTGGGCTTACTTTGAATAACTGTTTCTTTTTTTTGTACTATATGTGTTGCATTTTCTTTTTTTCTTATTGGATGTAGGCAGTTGGGTTTTATTTGGTAGGGTCTGTGTGCCTATTGATGTTTGGGTGGCAACTGTACGAGATGATTTAACAGCACTGGCGTATGATGTATTTGGTCGAAGCTGTGTGCTCTGAACTAGTCTTCTGGCTTCGGCGTAAGAGATGTTCCTTGTAACTTTTGTAGTCTGGATTTCTTTTTCCGATTTCCACTTTGGGCACAAGCGAGAAAATGCTGGGTGGTCACCCTTGCAATTTATACACAAAGGCGCAGCGGTACAATTATCGGAATCGTGGCCAATCTGTGAGCATCGGGCGCATGTGAGGCTGCCACGACAAGACGTCTTAGAATGGCCGAAACGCTGGCATTGGAAACATCGCACAGGGTTTGGAATATAAGGTCTTACAGGAATATTTAGATATCCGGCCTTAATATTCTTAGGCAGATCAGGCGTGTTGAAGGTAAGGATCACGTGTTTCGTGTCTATCAACTTACCTTCTTTACGCATCTTGATCCGCCTTGCACCGCAGACATTTTGGTCGGATAGCTCAGAAGCGATCTCTTCTTCAGAAACATACAGAAGGTCGAATTCTGAGATTACACCCCGACAATAGTTGAGTGACTTATGTGGTGTTACAGTGACATTCGCTTGCCCAAGTTTAGTTATCTGAAGTAAAGAAGCAGACTGGGTGGCTGAGGTTGTATCAATAAGCAAGTCTCCGGAGCGGAGACGCTTTATATTTCTCGGCTCACCAATACAGGACTGGATGTATTTGTTTATTATGAAAGGAGACATCTTATGCATTTCGCCAGAAGGACTAGAGATGACTAGGAAACGGGGACTATTGTTATGATTTTTTTCATTTGTATCTGTACGTAATTTTTTTGCAGTAGACTTTTCAGAACTAGGTTGAGTGAGTGGTTTAGCAGTAGACATTTCAGAAATAGGTTGAATGACTGGTTTAGCAGTAGATGTTTCAGAACTAGGTTGAGTGACTGGTTTAGCAGTAGAAGTTTCAGAACTAGGTTGAGTGACTGGTTTAGCAGTAGAAGTTTCAGAACTAGGTTGAGTTACAGGAGTGACTTGAGTGACAGGAGTTACCTCGAAATCTTTTATTAAGTAGATATGAGAAGCCATAGTGAAAGAATAAAGATTCGGGTCCGACGGCCCCGCCCACCACGGAGCCCAACAAGGGAACACAGATTCCTGTGTTAGGGCTAGCCGGACCTATACGCAAACTGAAGCCCCACAGTCGGCTTTCCCGAAAGCAGGTACTCCCGAGAGCTTGACCCCAAGCCACTGACACAAGGACTAGTGACCAGCCGATTGACACCCGTGAGGACGACTAAGGTGCCTCCCGTTTAGCTGAAGCAGAGGCCAAAGTAGTGTGTTGGGGACAGTACCTCGCCCCTCAACTACCAGGACCCTCCTTTCCAGCGACACGGGTCTCCACGCACGGCAAACACGTGGGCAGTTTTCTCGCCACTCGAGAACTAGAGACAAGGTCTGTTCCAGTCTCTCGTGACGAGCCCCAAACTCCGTAGAGAGAAACCACGAGGGAGAAGGGAAGGGAAAAAGTACCAGCCAAGAGGAGAGGAGACGGAAAAGAGAATAGATCACTGGGGCTCCAGGATCATGACACCCGTCTCACCAAGAAGATGATCCCCTGAAGGGCTAGGGTACCTCGGGATTGCCACACCCGTACTCACAAAAGTGAGCCCCTGAGGGATCAAACTTAATGAATTAATATGAATTCTATTACGCACCAATTACATTCACTGCATACTGTTACATCACACCAATATAATACCATGTGGTGAATGTATTAAAGACTATTGAATTTAGGTTAAGCTTTAAAGGGAAAAAAAAAAATTAGGCAACACAAAACACATTTAACAGAGATTTTTAGTCAAGATACTTCGAGGGCAAACAGGTACAGGTCCCTCTTCATCAGAAGCTAAGAAATCTAGGTTATTGCTTTGCCTAATTTTATGTTTTACTTCATCATGCTTCTCTTTTCCATTAATAAAGCCATATTTTATATGCTTCATCAGATTACATCTCTCATTCTCAATGTACTTTTGCTTAAGGAAAGCTTATGGAGAATGTTCATCACCATAAGAACTCCACTATAATACAGAGAAATGCATCTTTAAATTAAAAAATTCACTAACAGTATTCAGAATATTTATTCAAACCTATGCGGATGCACATAACTTTTAATGAATTAAAAAGAGACAGAAAGAACTTCTATTTCTCTTTAATTCATCATACAAAAACAGAATAAAAAGCTCAGAACATGTCACTACAGATGACAGAAATTACATAATCAAACAATATAAATAAAATTCAAGTTAAAGATTTTTATCCCCACCAGGAAGAACTTATTTTATATTTAACAAATGAGCTCACTCGTTCACTATTACTATTAATATCACTTGTCAAACTGTTTCAGTTAAAAGCTTATAAATGAGAGAAATAAATTACCAAAGTCATTTGTTCTGGAGACTGACACTGAGATTTAGAACTGTCAACAACTGGCCCCATTGTTCTATGACTGAAGTCTGTTTGGCTATTCGAGAGGCCCGAATTTGATGGTGAGTAAATATGAGGTGAAGAAGGACACAATGAACCGCTACTGACATCACTTGGATCTTCAGATTTTATTTGTGAAACTATCACACTGCTATGGCCTGCCATTAGACCGTACTGTAAAGGCAGAAAAACATTTGAATTTAATATATAGCCTTACATTATATAAGAAAAATAACAGCAAATACACAGAATTAAATATGCAATCATTTCATCCAAGAAATATGTTTAAGTACAAATACTATAACTGACAGAAAAGGCAATCAAAGATGCAATAATACACTACCCACACTAAAAATGCAAAAATGATTGGCCAGAAAGCGACGAAACTCGGCAAGCAGAGAGAGACAGCAACAATCAATAAGTGATTTCTATTTTGAAATGATATATATAATACAGAGCGAGAACAGTGTTGGCTCAGTAGGTTGTAGGACCAACTTGGACGGTGATACACGAAGTAACATGTCTAGGTACAGAGTAAATGAAACTATGGATGGTGTCCTGAGGAATGGCTCTCCATTCCCTGTCAACCATTTGTCACAGTTCGTCTGCAAATGGCATCCCAAACGTGTTCAACTGACAAGAGAACAGGACAGAATGGTGGACAGGGAAGCATCTGCACATCTTGCAGAACATGTTGGCTGGTGCAAGCAGTGTGTGGCCGTACTGCTGTTAATGGGCAATGGGCACTCCCTGAACGTAAGGGAGTGTCAACGGCTGCAGCATATCATCCATGAATCGTTGGGCAGTCATAGTGCCCTGAATACAAACTAGAGGTGACCCAGAATCTTATGCAATTGGACCCCAAACCATGATGCTGTGTCGTCACATGGTGGGGCATTCCACAATTGCTGCCGGATTGAGCCTGTCTCCTTATCGACATCACACTCATAGCGGCTACTACAGGTTCAACAGGTTCCTTCCCTTATATCTTCTTTAACATGCGTCAGAGAGCAGTGCATTTCACATCAATAGCATAACTCGGTGGTGTGCATCTACCTTGAAATTTGCATAATTTTTGGGCCACTCCTTCTTGAAGTTGCATTTTAAATGTCGGGTAACGTATTACATATATACAATTATAACAAACTACAAAAATGCACATGTTACTGTAAAATTTCATAGCATTGTCTTTTTCCATAAAATTATTTGATATTAAATGTTTTATTCTTTGCATGAAAAATGTACAAAGGTGTCCTGCTTTTTTACCAATTCACTGTTTTCATTAGCAAATCACACATTTGATACATAGCCCACTTTTCCAACATTTTGTCATATTTTGTAAATTTAAGCATTGGAGCTGCACTCTTTGGACTTACTGATGAAGAGCTGCATTTAGGCGCAACATATATGTATTAGATTTCAAAAATTACCTATTTTACTGTTTCTTTTCTTATTAATCATCTGACCTGCACTCTTTTTGGATTTATTGATGAACAGCTGTATTTAAACAACATTTATTAACTAGATTTTAACTCTTAACCTTATATTCTTTAATTAATAGTAAATGTAAGATAAAGTTATTTTCAATACAAGTTAATACACATTACATATAAAAAAATTTCATCGTCATACAAAAGCAGTCATGCTGCTCAGAGGTTAAAGGTAATGATTTTTTCGTGAACTATCTATGCATCCAAAATGTTTTATTTAATAAATATATAACTAATATGTACAACGTGCTAGGAATGACACCTTTAATATTAAAATAAGAATGTAAAGTTCTGTCATAAAAATAACAACTGTAATTTTTAAATACCCATTTATTAACTTAAATCTTTAATCTTGTCATCACATATACATGATTTTGCAAGTAACATCAGTTGGCATCCTGCACACGGTGACTTATTTTTCAAGAATTTTACTGAACAAAATCTAACTTTTTTTTTATCAATATATTACTACATTCAGAAATGTAACCTATTTCCATTCAACTAATTTGTGTTGACAGCAGCTATATTTGGGGACAGGTTTCATTTGAAGTGAAGAGCTTTCTCTACTAAGATCTACAATCTCTACAATCTCTGTTACAATAAAAATTATAGGGGCCAATTCAACAGCTAATCTTTGCTGCATTCAGTTTTATCCATGACTACAGAAAGGAAAATAAAGAAAGTTGCATTCTTTAAAATAAATATAAATTTGTATTATAAGAATGAACTATTGAAATATTATAAAAAATATACCATTTTTAAGGAGTGGGAGTAGAAAGGTACATATTTATTACATGAATGGGTTAGTATTATCAGTATTCAATTTCACTTTTTAATATTATGTTTATGAATACAAAGTACACCCTGTAACCCCCCCCCAAGAAAAAAAAGACACTTTTGTATCTCCCATTCTACTGGGCTGATTGACAAATTTAACTTGTGTTTTTCATGTCTTAAAAGTGCAAATTAAGATACACATTAAATTTATACACAGCATTGTTTTAACACAGGTATTTGATACAAAATCAGACCTTTCCTGAAATGAAATGATGATTTTTTTTCCATATTTCGATTCTGCAATTCAAATTATGCCTAAGCGTTAAATTTTGTGCACTTATCACCAAGCATCTTTAGGTATTAAATTTATTATGCATTTAATGTCATGAAATACCTTTTGGCGAAAAATATTTTTGTTACCTGTTAGTAAATTCGACCACGGTTAAACATTTCTGAAGTTAGAAGACAGCATGTTTTATTTAAAATATTTTTGATGCACTGTTTCACATACTCAGAGGTACTGAATACATAAGTGATATAATGTAATATTTTAATGTACCAGCTATTTGTGTAACTACCTCTGCCTTAAATCTTAAGACTTTTTAATCTTTTGGTTGGAGGTTAAGCAAATTTTTAACAATTACTATTTTGTGAAGTAAATGAAAAAAGCATTCACAAAAATTTCACAACATTTTGCTATTTTTCTTGCAGTCATCTTGCAAATTTCGCCTTTAAATAAATAACTACTTATAAACTCCTTGTGCTGTAACAACACTGAGTAAAAAAAGCTCATTAATAAGCTTCTCTTCAAAAAGCACTGATGAAAAAAGCTTTTAGATTAGCTTCTATACTATAAATATTTATTGTAATGGGGGGAGAGAACATGAAAAAATAAAAGGAAGGAAAAACTAAATATATACAGAATTGACGAGAGATAACAGATATGCAGTTTTGAACCATCAGCTTCAATTTAATCTGTTAATTTTTACGCATGTTAATTTTTTAATTTAATTTTCAATTTAATCATATAAGACTTAGTTTTTTTCACATAAATATGTTCTTTAAACCAGCGGTCGCCAACCGGTGGTCCGTGAAAACTTTTTGATGGTCCACAGAAAAATTGGGACAATATTTATATTTTTTTGAAGATTCAATTTAAAAAATAACGAGTAACAAAACCTACTATGGAATATGGATTACACTTTTTTTAGCTACTACTTTTAGCAAAATTCTTTCTGAATTTTGCAACTTTTTAGCTACTTTTGCAGGTGTATGGTATATCTAGCGACATTAGAAAGTGAGAGTTGCATCCAGGGATATGCTGCTGTTATCAATAATAGCATAAAATGGAATTCTCTTTCCTTTTGAATTACAAACAAGCTACTGTAGTCTCTAATAACACAGTTTTTCTCTGTGTCAATAGGCAACTTGATGGATTTTTTTTAGAACCATCTTCATTCTTGTTTAGAACTGAATCACTGGAAGTTTGTCTAACTGTTGATCGATGGGTCCATTCCTGAGTAAGTGATGATTATTATGCTTACAATAATAAAAAATTGGTGGCATAACACTTTCAGTTTATTGCTTTGCATTTGCTGGTTTGCGGTTTGTTCTTGCTTTTCGTGAAGTTCCTTTTCAGTGATATGGAAATGCGAAGCTTTCTGTACAAGAAGGTAAGATTTTTGTACTTTTCATATAATTTTTCAATGTGAACGAAATATGTGTATCAATAGTGTTTTAACTGCTACTCATAATCAGAGGCGTAGCCTGAATTTCCATAAAGGGATGCAGCTGAAAGCCAGATGTTTCGAAAATTATATGAACAAATGAAAATTAGAATTACATTGTTTTTAAGGTCTGATTTAGGTTTTTTTTTTTTTTTTTTTTTTTTTTTTTTTTCAAATTCATACTAGTGGTCCACCAAATATACAGTGGTGGCCAAAATCGTGGACACTTTTGGAAATTTTTTGAATTCTGTATACTTATAGAAAACGTTACGTTTCACAAAATGCAAACTTGTATATATCATTTTAAAGAGAATTTATTACTGAATTCAATACAAAATTCAATTATTTGCAATACAAAAAAAGTTTAACGATAATAGTTATCAATATACATTAGATAGTGATGATTGCAGTGAGTTATCAGTACTTAGTAGGGTACCCTTTATTTTTGATTACAGCTTCAAATCGACGCTTCACGAGCTGACAAGAGTTTCAAGCTCTTCTTTCATTATTACATGATGCCAGGAAACAATTATAGCCTCAATTAGTTCCCTTTTATTTGATGGGTGCCTCATTCGGACAAGTTTTCAAACAGTGCCACAAATTTTTGATAGGATTGACTTCTTTGTTTTTTATTGAATTTGTCTCCTGATATCGTAAACAAAACTTTCGGACTCCAGATGTAGTCACTGAACCACTCACCTGTCTTGCAATTTCAGCATAGGAAAGACCACTTTCTCGTAACACAATAATATTACATCTCTTTCTAGGTGTCCAATCTACTCTTTTATTTGATGTCATTGCTTCTTGACTAAATATTAAAAATTTTTACAAAAATTCCTACTTGCAATTGCAGTGTATAAGAAACAGGTCCTCCTTCTACAGAACAAAGCAAAATAATGAATTGTTTCAAGTGTAAACATGATGTCAGCTTCTACTGGCAGTTACTAACATTTGATTGGTTCTCAGAACAAGAACAGTGATTGGCCAGGAAAGCTAGACATTACAAAACACTTCATAACTGTGTTTTTTACTTATATTAAAGTACATATAACTTTTTGGTATTGCAAATAATTGAATTTTGTGTTTTGTATTGAATTCAGTAATAAATTCTCTTTAAAATGATATATACAAGTTTGCATTTTGCGAAATGTAACATTTTCTATAAGCATACAAAGTTCAAAAACATAAAAATTTCCAAAAGTGGCCACCACTGTAAAATTATATAAGTAGTGGTCTGTGAAGTTCTAAGGGTTGATGATAGCTGCTTTAAACAACATTTTCAGGTCTTTCTGTTCTTACTACTCAACATTTCAACCAAGCAGCCTTTCAAAGATGGATATAAAGCCATAAGGCTTTTTTTGTACATAATGCCATAAGCCTATAGTACAACAAAATTCACAAAACAAAATGGCAGAATTTTGGGAAGATAAGTAAGTCATGGAATCTTTGCAAGGAAATTAACTTCATGAACAATATTTGACAACAATTTTAAGATAAAAAGGACTTCTAACAAATACGGAGAGTTCAAATTGTCAGAAAACAATGCATAAAGTCATAAAAAATTCTAAGAATTAAATTTTTTTATTTTTAGTAAATTTAAATTTATTAAAAATATTTTTTTTATTTTTATTTAAATATTTATCTGTATTTAATAAATTTTAATTTTTAGTTTAATATAATAAATGGCATTTGTCTACTTGAATGGTTTCTATTAAATTCTTATTAGTATTGGTGAATTTTCCCCCCTCTTAAAGTAGCAATGCATAACAAAAGTGTATTATTAAGTGGGCCATTTTCAAATTTTGCTTACATATGCCGCCCCAGAACAAAAGAAAGAAAATTCAAGATAAATTATGCTTCAAGTTTAATCTGAGCAACGCATTGCATAAAGATGACTATAAATATATTTCTGCAATTCAAAATATAAAAAAATCAATTGAAATTTTTTACATATAAATTTTAAAATGTGTGATCAAAGGCAAAAATATCTGTCCTTTTCAAGTTTCATGCTTTCAACCTCTTTGTTTTGTAACCTCATTTATTTTTTAAATAAAGAAGTTTAATTATTTTAAATATGAAGTATTAGTGTATTATATTCATTATAAAAATTAATTACAGAAGTATTTTTCTTTAACAAATCAATAGAAAATAATTTGTTTTCCACTTCATGTCCTTACCTTGAGATTATTTTACCCAAAATTAGTTCATAAATCTGTCTAAAAGGGGCAGTACACATTCAGTGACATAGATAAACTAGTCAACCTAAGTCTAACTACTTTGAATATGTAATGCCCTCCTTTAGGCAGATTTACAAACTATTTGGGGGTAATATAATCTCAAGGTAATAATGGACTTGACATGAAGCAGAAGACAAATTATTTTTATTGATTTGCTAAATTTTTATCTAAAAATTACCAATTCATTTTTTTGTTTGTTTTAAATTATAAAAATATATTTACAGTCATTTTATGCAATGCATTGCTCAAATTAAACTTTGACAGCATATGTAAGCAAAATTTGGAAACGAGCCAAATACATTGTTTACATGGAAAAATTTCAAACTGTTTGGAGGATATATGTTGGCATTTAAAATATTAAAATCTGTCCTATAAAATCATGAATCTTGTTGATCAAGGTGCTCTGTAAGAAAAATACCAGTATAGTGCTACCTCTAAAAAATTTGGAATCTTTTGCACCATTTAGTAAAAAAAGCAAGAATGAGTGAAAAAATGCATCATAGTATTCTGACTGAGTGCCATACTTTGCAACTTAAAAAATAATTTTTAAAAAACATATTTTATGTACCAAAATGTTAAATCAAACCCATTCATTAACTAAGAACATATAACAATTTCTGAGTTCTGATTGCATAACATTGTTTTCTACTTTACCTAAAACTGAAAGTATTTATATTGGGGAAAGAGCAGAATCACCCACTGTTTGGCACGTTTTTAAGAATTGCACTAACTTGGTATTCATGTACACATCGACCTCTTTTCACTTAAAAAAAATTCCAGAATCCCAAAAACGGCATTGTGCACTCCTTTATCCATGTACACACCAACTTATTTTCATTTAAAAAGTCAAAGAAAATTGACAAAAATCCAACTCTTGTAAAAAGTGCTAAACAAATAGTGGCTGATTCTGCACTTTACCCTTTATATTTACAACAAAATGATAGTTACTAATTTAAAAAGAGAGATGGTATATAAATTACAGCAAATCATGCTATGAGCTAGTAGTTATGAAAAGCATGCAGTCAGCTTATTTAGTTATTAGAAAAGAGAATTTAATACAAATTACCAGTGTATTAAATCATTAGGCATCAACCATTTACCATTGATGCTTCTTGGGAAATAATAAATTTTAGTCTTTCTGAGATTTATATAATTATAAGATGTTCAACTTTTATTAACTGTCAACTGTTATACTAAAACAACATTTAAGATACTCAAGACTAACCCTCATTAAAGCTATAGGACAAATAATGCAGATTTACATAAAGAATCTGAATTTTTTATTAGTACGACAACAACTGTTTAAGGAATACCGTGAGTAAGACAAATTATTTTTATTGTCTGCCTGATATTTACGATGAAAATTTACAAACAAAAATCTTGATAAGTATATTCAACATAATATACGACAGCGTTTAGGCATTTTTAATCACCAAAAAGACATAAATTTAAAGATTAATGGCAGTATATCTTAATAAAAAGTACGAAATTTAAATACAGGCATGCAACAATATGTACAAACTTCGTTTTTAAAGAGTATAAACATAAAAATGAATAAAATGTAACGCGTTTCTGAAATAACTATAAAAATTCTTTTATCCTCCTGCACATAACACTATCGCTAATTTACTGTCTATTACTTGCAATCATGTTTCAAATCCACAAAATTTCAAAGCAATGTACATAAATACGAATTCAGAAAACATACATATCCTCATCAACATCAAAACTGTACACAAACAATAACTCACCATCGTAGAAAATGCCATAACAGGTATCGATATTTTTTAGACATCTTTAATAAGTCCAATCACTCGTATGCTGCCTATCGTATGACTGACACGGTTACGGATGAAAGTGAAATTCAGGAGGGAAAAGGCAATATCCCACGAGGCCGCAAGTAAAAGTGACAATAACAAAATCAAAAATGTAAAATTTACGAAGAACGGTGGGAAAATCAGAAGCATAAATAATGGGGGGCCCAATAAAAGGGCACGATAGCACGAGTGGCCTACATCGGCCTTCGATATCGCAGTCAGTAGAACAGGTGGCACTTTTCCAAGGCCCACAAGAACAAAAAAAAGTTCGGAAAATCTTACTCTTCATCCCAAACTTTACCGGACGGAAGAAATACAGGTTTATATTTTTGGCGGCTTTATCGCTATCCAGGCGATAAATTCTAACTCCACAGAAAGAGAAAAAGGGGTAGAAAATTTAGCGTTGAAATAAAATTACCTCGAGATCCCTAATAAATTAAAAATGGGAAAAAATACTTAATATTCCTGCCCCCTTTCCCAACGGATGAGTTCTTAAAATCATATCCTTAACGGATTAGCGAATAACTAAAACCAGGTTTTACACAGGACTTTTTAAGGTACCGAATTTAGAAGAATAGTATAATAAAGTTTAATCGAAGGCATCCGACGTGCAACTTTTAATCCATAAAGAGTATATATAAGTTTTTAAGATTTGAAAAAGTTCTAATTTTATTCAAGTTAATGTGTGACCTGATTCTAAAATGCAGGACTCTTCTAATTCTGGCATATTCTATGCAGAAAGTTCAAAATATAATGTATCCGTAAATATACACCAGGCAGCAATTATTTAAAATTCTCGTTCCAGCCGATTCTACATAATTTAATATTAAGTAAAACAAAGTACAAAAATCCGTTTCGTCTATATTTGTGACTTTTCCTGGGCTTGAATATAAAATTAACAAATATATGCGACAACTAATAAAATATTTTTTCCATATTCTTTTAAAATACCTGTAACAAAACTTCAAACCTGATTTTTATTACTCATGTACTACGAGGTGAAATAAAACGAGACTGGTACAAATGGTTTACATACTTGAATCGAAAAATACGCAGAAATTTAAGAATTAGAAAGCATTTAAAAAATTGATAGTTGAATAATTTGCAATTTATAATAATGCAAACAAAATAAAAACATATAAAATCACGACCCCCTCCCATTATATCGGTAAAGTCGGCACTTCATCTATAAAAGAACAATAAACAGCTCAAAATAAGAATCACATTTACAGTACAGACACTGCGATAGAGAGTAAGATTAATCTGATTACTAATCAATACTGCATATTAAAATCAATACTACCCATTAAACTCAATACTGCACATTAAAATCAATACTGCCCATTAAACCCAATACTGCACTTAAAATCAACACTGCACATCAAAATCAATACTGTGTAGGATCGACACGGCACCGATTCGATATATTACATTGACATCATAAAATACAAATTTTGGTATTGATGTGATAATGAGTATGAAGATTAATCCATGCTGCTTAAAGTTTACACCTGTATAGTATCAACATGGCATATACCGGCATGCAGTCGGACATTGCACAATGTAACTAAGGGATTGCATTTAACAACTCAATAATCAAAAGAAAAAGAATGCGATTAAATTATTTACTACGGTCTACACAAGGCAGACATTACATAGCACCGACATCGGCAGAGTCGAAACTGATTTTGTGCTATTTTCTCGTTCCTGTACCAGCATATAGGTTATCGGTTCTATGCACGGTCAGTCCTGCGCCGAATGTCCCAAAAAATAAATACTGAATGCAGCAGTCATCATTATTTTAAGCACTGCCGGATGACAAGGAAGGGGGGGGAAAAAAAAAAAAAAAAAAAAAGAATAGTAGAAAGGCATTTTCTTTACAAATATTTGAACATAGCTTCTAAAATCGCCACTTACACTGACGGATTCTCAATATACTTGTGACTTCAGACAACCCCCATGATAAAATATCACATGGTCTGAGATACAAAGATTTGGACATTCAATCAAGCTGAAACGAAGGCTTTTATTCAAGATACTTATTAAAACTTCTTCAGAAGTTTGAGAATAAGAGATTTTTTACAAAAGAAATAATATGGAATGATGTTGTCCTGCATAAAATGGCAGACATACAACTGTAAAAACTCGGGACGGAAATCTTCCTGCCCCCCTATTAGAATTATGACCATACAAAATATCAAAACAAATATATAATTAGCATTTATTTAATTAAATTTAGATAGTTAAAATGGTTTGGAAAACAAAAGACCTTTAGATTAAAGAAAAAACAACTTACATTAGAGACAAAACATTATGATCACCTACTCAATAACACGTTGCGCGACCTCTGCCCTGCAAAACAACTGCAACTCGCCTTGGCATGGATTCCGCAAGTTCTTGGTAGATGGCTGAAGACAGGTTGTAACAAATGTCTAAGCAGTAGTCACACAAAATCGAGATATTCCAACACAATGGAGTTTCAGCCCTGAGCTGCCGCTCCATGACATCCCAAATGTGCTCTATCGGGTTAAGATTCGGCGAGTTAGGTGGTCAGAAAGTTTATTGAAATTCATCCTTATGCTCCTTAAACCACCCCAACACAGTTCGAGCCTTGTGGCATGGGGCGTTGTCCTGCTGGAAGATTCCATTTCCAGCTGGGAAGACAGACCAGATGTAATGGTACAACTGATCCGCAGTTACGTTCAGATAGTCCGCAGCTTTCATGGTCTGTTCTAACACACCTAAGGATCCCAGAGCCGCCTATGAGAACGTCCTCCAAAGCATAATACAGGCACCACCAGAGTGTGTATGACCTGCTGTATGGATAACAACTATTCGCCTAGAAGACTGCATATCATGACGAAACCATCGGCGTGATGAATGAGAAATTCGTAATTAATCAGACCAAGCAACGGCTTTCCAATTATCCATGGTCAGGTCTTCATGTTCCCGGGCCATGATCTCGCTTGGTAAACAAATGCACATGAGTGGGAGTCTGTTGCGCCGTTCCATATCCAACAATATCCGATGAACTGTGTGTTCCGAAACATTTGCAATTGGACCTGCACTGTATTGGGCTGCCAGCTGAGCCACTGCTTGCCGCCGATTTTGCTATACCAAGCAGGACAATTTCCAACGTCCTTTTTCTTTGATGACCGTGGATGTCCAACATATTGCGGTCTACTGCTGGCTTCAGCGTCATTTTTCCACTTTGCCTAAATACTAACACTAGCAGATCGTGGAAAACCTACCAGTCGTGCAGTTTTGGAGATACTCGTTCCGAGTTTTCTGGCCATTACAATCTGCCCTCAATTAGATTCGCTTAGATCAGCAGCCTTTACCCCACACTCGCAAAAGTAAATGCAAGAATGATTCCTTACCTTTTCTCACTATAGCCGTGTGTAGCTTGCAGATAGCAAGTTGTATACCGGCTGTCATGAATTAATAACTACACTGCAGGTATAGCAAATGCATAAGTATGTCCGGAGGACAGGATGCAAGGTGACAGAGGGCGTGATTACTTTGTCACGTGAGGCTGTAGCGACATCTGGTAGGCTGGAGTGATGCTCGTCCAAGTTTTAGGAACAGCGTGCATTTTTACAATTATTCAGTGCATAAACTCATCAAAGTGAATTTTTCTCACAATTGGGAAGACAATATACAAAAATAAAATAAATATTTACAAGTATGCAGGGAATCCGGCAGAAGCAGTCAAAGATATCTCTCAGTAGAAGTCTTCTGATTGGCTGTTGAGACGAGTATGCGAAAATCATGTAAAATTTAGGGGGGGGAATTGCAGAGACATAAAAAAAAAACATATTTTTCCAGTGAACCTAGAAGTTGGAATAAATAGAATGAAAGAAATGATTCTTTACCTTCTCCAGCAACAGTTAAATACTATTCCCACTTAATCAAGTGCCCTCCATATTTTTAAAATAAAAAAAAAAAAAAAAAAAATTAGTAAGTTACCATTTTTGATGACTTAAAAAATGTTTTTAACTTTCTTGTCAATATTAATAATAACAATAACTAAACTTTTGGGGGCGCGTCGAGCTGCTTGGACTTCTGTTCCCCATCGGAATTATATGCTTTTAGCTATCGCATTTTCAATGGGATTGATTGCCAACTCTTTAAGTCTTACTTGGCTCATTATTGACTCATTTAAAAAAAAAAAAACTTATACTTTGAAAAGCTTCCCTTGCAAAAAGCAACTGAAACACACACTGTTAAAAAAATTCATTCGAGCTAAATGCAAGATAGGAATTCTATGCAAGACAGGAGCTAAATGCAAGATAGTCAATGTCCAAAAAATACTTTTAACATATTCAATGCAGACAACTTTTAGCTTCATTCTTTTTTATATTCCTTATTTATATACTTAAGAATTTCGGGTTCTTCGGAGATCTCCTCTCGAACTGAGGCCATTGGTAGTCTGCACATGTATACGATAAAATCCGTTGCTTCTACGTCATGGAAAGTGCTGGGTGAAGGTCATGAAAGGTTAAGGTAATGATGATCACTCACAGCAGTACTTGAAAAGCAGAATCAAACGCGTTCTAATAGATATAATAGCAACTCTAAAATTTAAAAAGAACCGTTTAAGTATTTCTAAGCTAATAATATGCATCGTAAATTTAGGAAAAGTATTTTTAAAACGTTTAGTGAGTACTGGATCACCTTGTGTTTTGAAATGGCAAATAAATCAAATTCATGTTGTGCAGTAACAAATGCATTGGGAATTGTATTCGTTTGTAATTAGAGAATCTGAAGACTCAGATTCATGTAATTGTTAAATATTATTATAAGACTTTATTCTAAACGATAAACAAAAGACGAAATCCTTATTCTAAAAGACACGAGCGAATTTGAAATTTTACAGTAAGGGATATAAGAGAATGTCAGCAATGATGCTGTTCTTACTTAATGTGACATAATTGATGTTAATGGCAAATTAAAGATTAATGTGTTTTTCAGATTATAGCAAGAAATCTAATAATTAAATTACGATGAATATAAATTGGCGATTATGTCCATTTTTAAAACCATGAAAAAATTAATATTAATAAAAATTTAGAAAAATGTATTCCATAAAAATTCGCTCTACGAAAAGTAAGACTGGATTAATAAACTTATTCGACTTAATACTGCGACTTATATACTTATATACTGCTTTAATTTTAAATATAGCCACAATAACGTTTGTGAATATCAAAAATAACTTAATATATTACTTGATAA